TCTCTAGCCATAAAAGAATTGCAAATTACTCTGAAGAGCAAAGAATGATGGCTAATAGACACATGATGAAATGCGAATCAAAACAACATTGAGATACCACCTCACCCCAGTTAGAATGGCAAAAATCAAGAACTCTAATAACAACAGATGCTGGAGGGGATGTGGCCAAAAAGCAACCCCACAGCATTGTTGGTGGGAGTGTAAACTTGTTCAACCACTTTGGAAAGTAGTATGGAGGTTCCTCAAAAGACTTCACATAGAGCTCCCCTATGACCTAGCAATCCCACTTTTGGTCATTTACCTAAATGATCACAAACAAAACCATACTAAAGCTACCAGCACAACTATATTTATCACAGCATTATTTAGCATAGCTAAGATAGGGAACCAACCCAAATGACCTCAGTAGATGAATGGATCAAGAAAATGTGGTATATATACACAATGGAATTCTATGCCTCCATCAGAAAGAATGTCACTGCCCCATTTGTTAGGAAATGGAAAGACGTAAAAAATTATATTAAGTGAAGTAAGCCAGGCCCAAAGAAACATAAGTCCCATGGTTTCCCTTATTTGCAATTACTAGTATATGTCTGAGACAAGCAGAAATGGTCAGCTAAGCTGATGTTAGGCAAAATGAACCTCAAGATAAGGACTCAAATGGTTTTTCTTTCTTGCTATTGTTTCTAACATATTTATAAGATTATTTCTTTGTTGCTTTGTATGTCCCTCCCCCATGGTATAACCCCTGTTTTCACTGTATTTGATGTTGGTATAATTTGTGGAGGGAAAGGGAAAAAACAAATTATTTAAGTATGGATACAGGTGGACCCATTGCAACAATGAGATGTACAAGTCATTGTGTTGAAAAACAAACTTTACAACTTTGGTGGGGGGGGATGGTTGGGGGGAGGAGGGGGAGGAGGGGGGGAGGATGGGAAGGGATGGGAAGGGGAAACAAAGGAGGAGGCAACAATGCTTGATAAGAAACGTACTCATTACCTTGCTCATGTAATTGTAACCTCTCTGTATGGTTTTTTCACAATAAAAATAATTTTAAAAAATTTAAAAAAAGAATTGCAAATTAAAACAACATTGAGATTCCACCTCACCCCAGTTAGAATGGCTATAATCAAGAACTCTAATAACAACAAATGTTGGAGAGGATGTGGTCAAAACGGAACCCTATTGCATTGTTGGTGGGAATGTAAGGTTGTTCAACCACTTTAGAAAGCAGTATGGAGGATACTCAAAAGACTCCATTTAGAGTTCCCCTATGATCCATCAATTCCACTTTTGGGCATTTACCCAAATGATCACAAATAAGGGTATACTAAAGCTACCAGCACAACTATGTTTATTGCAGCATTATTTACCATAGCTGAGATATGGAACCAACCCAGAGGCCCTCAGTAGATGAATGGATCAAGAAAATGTACACACACACACACACACACACACTCACACATAATGGAATTCTATGCCTCCATCAGAAAGAATAACATCCCCCATTTGTTAGGAAATGGAAAGCCTTGGGGGAAAAAATCTATTAAGTGAAGTAAGCCAGACTCAAAGAAACATAAGTCCTATGGTTTCCCTTATTTGCAGTAATTAGTATAAGTGTAGGGCAAGCAGAAAAGGTCAAAAGCTACGTACCTTTGACCAAATAAGATGTTAAGTGAAATGAGCCCCAAGATAGGGACACAACTTGTTTTTTCTTTCTCGCTGTTGTTTTTAATGTATCTAAAATGTACTATGTGATTTTTTTGTTTATCTTGTATGTTCTTCCCCCTTGATATAACCCATTTTCATTGTATTTTTTGTCAGTGCCCTGCATCTTATATATACATTTTTCTAATTTGGGGAGGGGAAGGGAACTAACAAAATGCTGAAACAAGGATATAGGAAGACCCACTGTAACAATGAGATGTACAAGACACTATGTAGAAAACGAACTTTTCATCTTTGGGGGAGTGAGGAGTTGGGGAGGTGGGGAGGGAAGGGATGGTAGGGGAAAAACAAAGGAGGAGGTAACAATGCTCAATAGGAAATGTACTCATTACCTTACTCATGTAACTGTAACCACACTTTTTTATTCTTACAATAAAAACATATAAAAAACATACACAGTCACAAGCAAAATAAATCTTTTTAATTGATGTATACACATTTCTCATAGCAAGAGGCCACATTATGACATTCTTCCCATAAGATACACTTTGGTCATATTACCCTTCCAGTACTCCCCTCCCCCTTTTCTTTTCCTTCCATTTTCTTAGTGGTTCCCCCTTTACTTTCATGACCTTGCTTTTGTTTCCACTGCTGCCCCTCCCTCTCCCCCTAAAGAAATCAGTATGAAAGGACCTCAAATAATTAAAAAAAAATAGAACTTTCATCTGATCAAGCCATACAGTTGAAGAATCAAAGTCACTTTACTACACAGCCATAGACTCACATCTATTGTGACACAATAGCCAAAGTATAGAATTAGTCTGGATGCATACCAACAGATGAATGGATAAATGTGGCTTTTGTGTCTGAAATAAGATTCTTATGTCGTGCAGCTAATAATGTTTGTTTCCCAATGTAAATGCTCTTTATTTAAAATGTTGTCTTGATTTTCTTCCAAGAATTTTCCCTTGCTTACCATTACTCTTGTATTGAGGTTTGTATTCTGCATTTTCTTTCACATTAGCTTGGAAATTGGTCCTATGTCCCAAATGGCCTTAGTAACTGTGGACATTTGGGAAGGAAGGGCAGAGAGGAGCTTAGGGCATGGAAATGACCTTTGGGGCCTCTGATGGGCTGGGCTAGAGGTACAAAAACTAGTGGCATTCACAGTACAGCCTTGTTCAGCTGCTAGGTCTGGTTGAGAACTCGGAAAGCTTTTCAGAAAGGAATGAAGAGGCATATAAGTTGCTCTATATACGCAGGAAGAAGACTGTGGTAGTAAGACGACAACAGGTTGGGTGTTTCTGATTCAGATCTTGCCGATTTCCCTAAATTGTGTACATTTCTGCTTCTCTATTACGCAAACTTTTGAAGAGTTTTTAGGGTGAGAGTTTAAAAATTATATCTGCATCCTTCTATTCCTTCCTCATTGTTTATGATAGCTGGAAACCAAACAGCCATTAAGGTGTTCATGTTCTCAATCGCAATTCAGATTCACTAGAGGAGTCTACCCTGGAGGCCAGTAATCTCAGCTATTGTGATGATCCTCCTGGATTCTCATTCCACTTCTCTTCCCTCTTAGTGTTCCTTCACTCTTCTGGCTGTGCAGAATACCTTTCCCATTGTTCAAGCTGTTAGGTCCCCCTGAAGACTCCATACTGGCTATTGAACCAGTTTTTTTTTTATCTTTGATTTATCAGTGTAGGAGAAAAAGTTTACTTGGTATCTGGAATCGATTCACAGGAGGCTGTAGAAATAAACTTATGTGTTAAAGGCAATGGGAATCTGGCCAAAGGTAAGTCTGATTTACAAGATACATAGATTTTTACTAGGCTTTATGCATGAAATTGTGGGGGTTTTCTAATGCCACTCTATCTTCCCTCTCCCATTATTTTTTGTGATGTTTAGGCTTGAATTCAGCCTAATAGAGCACCTGAAGGCAGCAGGTGCTCTACCACTTGAGCCACATGTCTATGCTTTCTGTAATGGTTATTTTAAGATAGACTCTTATTGCCCAGGTTTGCCTGCATGGTGATCCTTCCATGCCCAGTTTTCTCTGATGGGTCTTGTAAACTCTTCCCCCGTTTGTGTGTGTGTGTGTGTGTATAAAACACATATTATATTACATTCCATATACATATTATGTATTACATATAAACTACCTCATATATAATAAATATATAATATGTACATATTATATATCAACTATATACTATTAGGTAAACTAGGACAGTTTTGTTCCCAAATACCCCTTTATTCATATTGCTTCTCACCTTTGAAAAACTAGCTTCTGCTTTCTCATCAAAGGGAGGGCTCCAACACTCATTAGGACTACTTTATTGTTTAAAAATGTCTGAGTTTGGGCTTTCTTACTGCGTTAAAACAGTGTCACTGGGGCATACCAAACAATGCTCAGAGTTAAGATTTAGCATAGAAACATTGTAAAGGTTAAATTCACGAAGTTGTTTACAGCTTGTTCTAGTATATCAGCCCAGGAATCCACAGCAAGCCATTCGGTCTGGATTTGTGATTAGTGGACACTTCATGCGAAGCCAGCCAAAGCTATTTATCACTGTTGAAGTAGTACCATTGGAGTAAAAAGAGCTGAATCCTGAAATTGCTTGTACTCATTTTACCTTCTTGTCAAAGACGTAAGGAGATTCTTATCATATCGTCTTATCACAAAAGTCAATTTTTTAGAAATCATTTTTTCCCCTGCAAATGGTACTAACTCTAATGAAGTTTCAAAGATCATCTGGTAATGCAACTTTGGCCTGATTTCTCCTTTACTTGTGATACTGTCTTTTGGAAGAAGTACCAAGACAAATATTAATATGGGACCTATAACTAATCTACTCTATCAGCAAGGTCTGCCCAGATACTTTTATTTACAGAGCCAGAAAAAGCTGATGGCTGGGAGTTTCAGACTTCATGCTTGCTATTTTAGCCAAAGACTTTAATCATTTTTGGCTTTGTTTCTTTACCTGTATAGTTGGAATATAATGAACTTCTCTTACAGGGAGGATGACCATATACCCTATCAACGAAATTGGGCCTAAACCAATTAAGAGGCAGAATAAACAAAAATGATCCCACGCAAACCAGAAAATATTGGCTTTGGGTGAATCTTACTTAGGACTTTTAACAAAATGCATAGTTATATAACTATAAAGCACTTAGAACCATGCTAGATACTAAACTACAACTATGTTTAATGATTCTTGGAAAATGAATTAGCCCCTTCTGGCTGTTTTTATTATATGGATATATTTATTTTTGTTTGTCTCCTTAGGATTTCTGAACTGGCAGGCCTGATCAGCACACAGCACATGGATGCAGAAAACAATAGCTCTTATATCCAATACCCTGACTTTCTCCTCATCTGCTTCCCTAACTACCAGAGTTGGCAGCACTGGCTGTCTTTGCCCTTCAGCCTCCTCTTCCTGCTGGCCATGGGGGCCAACATCACCCTCCTCCTCACCATCTGCCTGGATAACTCTCTGCATCAACCCATGTACTACCTGCTGAGCCTCCTCTCCCTGCTGGACATGGTGCTCTGCCTCGCTGTCATCCCCAAGGTCTTAGACAACTTCTGGTTTGGCAACAAGTCCATTGGCTTCTCTGCTTGCTTTCTGCAGATGTTCATCATGAACAGTTTCCTCACCATGGAGTCCTGCACGTTCATGGTCATGGCCTATGACCGCTATGTGGCCATCTGCCACCCTCTTCGCTACCCTTCCATCATCACAGATCAATTTGTGGCCAGGGCTTCTGTCTTTACTGTGGTTCGTAATGGCCTTCTGACTCTGCCCATCCCCATCCTTTCTTCCAAGCTGAGATACTGTGCAAGAATCATTACAAACTGCATCTGCACCAACCTGTCTGTGTCCAGACTCTCTTGTGATGACATTACTTTCAATCGGCTCTACCAGTTTGTAATAGGTTGGACGCTGCTGGGGTCTGACTTTGTCCTTATTGTGATCTCTTACTCCTTCATCTTGAGAGTGGTGCTAAGGATCAAGGCTGAGGGGGCAGTGGCCAAGGCCCTGAGCACATGTGGGTCCCACTTCATCCTCATCCTCTTCTTCAGCACGGTGCTGCTGGTTCTGGTCATCACTAACCTGGCCAGGGAGAGAATTCCTCCAGATGTCCCCATCCTGCTCAACATCCTGCACCACCTGATCCCTCCAGCCCTGAACCCCATTGTGTATGGTGTGAGAACCAAGGAGATCAAGCAGGGAATCCAGAACATACTGAGGAGGTTGCAATAGGTAAAAAGGGTGCCACCTGCCCTTAGAAGTATAAGTTGTTAATGAGAAATCATTTGCATGAGGCATAGCAAATTTAAATATTCTCTGCATGAAGGAATTTGGATTTTATTTTCCTTAATGTTGCTTTTGGGACATTCAATGGTGGCTCTTGTATACTATTGTGTTGAAGAGAACCTTAGGATTTTGTACTCTGAAGTTGTCTGAGAGTGCTCTCACCCTCATCTATGTAAGAAGAGCTTGGCAAGTCTTAATTCCAGGTATCTTGAGTGATATTGCTTGTCAAATGAAGAATAAATTGGATTCCAACACGTCTTTAATTTTTATTTTTTATCGCTATTATAAAGGTAATGGACAGAGGAGTTACAGTTGTACATGTCAGGTAAAGACTACATTTCTTTTTGGACAATGTCACTCCTTCCCTTGCTCTCCCAGTTTTCCCGTCCCATCTCCACCCATGAGTTGTATAGTTCATTTTCAGCATAATGAGTACCATTGGTGCATTTGTTCACCCTTTATCCCTCCCTTACCCCCTTACTCTCTCAAAGACAGAAAAATGAATAAGGAAGAAGAAAAGAAAAGAAAAAAATCAGTAGCAAAGGAAAAAAAACCCTCTTGTTTCCATTAGATCCTAATACTTTTATTTATTTATTTTTATTGTGAAAATGCTGTACAGAGGGGTTACAATAACATGGGCAAGATAAGGAGTACATTTCTTATCAAGCATTGTAGCCTCCTCCTTTGTTTCCCCTTCCCATCCTCCCCCCCACTCCCCCCTACCGAATCCACCTCCCCCCCACCACCGAAGTTGTAAAGTT